TATGACACCACAGCATCAAACTTAAAAAATTTTGTGCATCAAAAGACACAACCAATGGAGTAGAAAGGCAACCCACAGAATGGGAGAAAATATTTGCAAATCGTGTATCTGATAAGGGGTTAATATCCTGAATATATTAAGAACTCCTACAACTCAACATTAAGAAAAGACAAACAACTCAATAATGAAATCAGCAAAAAACTTTAAGAGACGTTTCTCCAAAGAAGATATACAAGTGACCAATAAGCACATGAAAATATAGATGGTCAGCATCACTAATCATTAGGGAAATGCATATCCAAACCACAATGAGATATCATCTTCTACCCATTAGTATAGTTACTATTGAAAATGAACAAGCAAACTGGGAAACAAAAAATCAGAAAATAACAAGCGTTGACAAGTGTGGGAAGAAATTGGAATCCTCACGTACCATTGGTGGAATTGTAAGATAATGCAGCTGCTATGGAAAACAGTACAGAGATTCTTCAAAAAAAAAAAAAAAATAGAGCTACCAGATGATCCAGCAATTCCACTTCTGGGTATATATTCAAACGAATTGAAAGCCAGGTCTCAAGGAGATATTTGCGCACCAGTGTTCACAGCAGCATTATTCTCAATAGCCAAAAGGTGGAAGCAATCCAGGTGCCCATTGATGGATCAACAGATAAGAAAATGTGCTATATACAGACAATGGAATATTCAGCCTTAGAAAAGGAAGGATGAACCTTGAAGACATTATGCTGAGTATCATAATCCAGGTACAGAGGGACAAATAGGACATGCATTCACTTACATGAGGTACTGGGAGTAGTCAAATTCATAGAGACAGTATAGAATGTTGGGTGGAAGGGAAAGTACGGAATTGTTTAATGGGAATAGAGTTTCAGTTCTGCAAGATGACAAGAGTTCTGGAGATTTCTTTCCTAACACTGTGAATGTACTTAGAAGTTCTGAATTGTACACTTAAAGATGGCAAGTTTTATGTTATTTATATTTTACCACAATTTTTTAAAATGCAAGTGTAAAACACATATTGTGCATATTATAGATTTTTAAACATGAAGAATCTGTCATCCTAGACTTTATTTTTATATATTCTCTTCTAGTCTTTTTCCTTATGTACATATATTTTCAGAGTTATAATCATAAGATACCTACATTGCTTTATCAATAAACAATTTACCAGAATTGCTTTTTATGGGTGTAAGGATTGGGTTCTGTCTGGTGGAGCTTGGGATGGGAGACCTTACTGAGGCAGATGAGGAAGACAGGAGCCAGAGCAGCAGGTACCCAGAAGACGAAGGAGAACCAAATACCTGAGGGAACAGCGCACACACCAAGTCCAGGGGCTAGAAGTCATCACAAGGTGGACGCCCAGACCCCAGCTCAGAAGGAGACTCCAGTGGGACTGGAACAGCAGCTGACCGAGCAGTGACCTGCGCCCAGTTTGCTGAGTGGAGGACATTACTGGTTTATTTGGAGAGAGTGTGGCTTTCATTTAGGTCCCTAGCTATTTATCTTCAGGCTTGGCACAGAGCCGGTAAGAGAGGGACTGGTCCCTAATGATTATAAAGAGCTGCTTGGAGTGAGGGTGTCTGGGGTTGGCCCCAGGCTGTGCCTCTCTATCTTGCAGTTGGCAAGTCTCTCAAGCCTCTTTGTTTTAAATTTAAATGGGAAGGGTAAAGGACTTTTCCCAAAGTGCAGATTCGTTCAACTGATAAATTACAATGATTCTGGGAGTATTGAGCATCCCAGAGGGGACAGCCATAGAGTCCAGTGCAGAGGGTCTCGGGCTTTAGCGCACAATGGAAGCACACGGGAGGCTTGTGGAAATGCAGAGTGCCAGCCCTGCCAGCCCGCACCCCAGGATTCTGATTCAGTACCTCTGGGGTGGGCCTAAGAATCTACATTTCCAACACGTGCCCAGGTGATAATGCTGCTGGTCCGGGATTTTGAACTTTTTCTTTAAAGGAAATACGTATTATTCAATTTTGTGTACAACACAGTGGCTTATATGGAATAGTTGCTCGATAAATATTTGCTAAATCCCAACAGTGAGATGGGCGGGAGGCACTGTGGGAATGAACGCTCTGTTGCTTCTAGGGGGAAGTGGAGGAGCGGAGCAGGCATTAGGAGTGCTCCCCTAGGGTTGTTCCAGGGAAAACTGAGAGCACTTGGCACGTGGCTCGTCTCAGAGTGAGGCTTCCACAAATGTGGCCTGAAAAGCCAAGGAGCACAGCCCGAGGAGCAGCGAGGGAGGAATCACTGAGACGTGGCTGCTTAGCAGTTCTGCCTGAATCCAGCGCTCCCTCCCAAAGGCCCTAAACAGATGGCTGCAAGGGAGAAAGCTGGAAGTCCGTCTTCTTTCCCAAAGACTTTGTATGCTGGGTATGGTACGAAATTGTTATGAACTAAATTTTTCATACTAATATTTGGTATGATCAGTGTCCTAAGTCAGTGATCCTCAGAGGCCCAGAGGAGCAGTGCTCCCTCCCATGCCCTGTCACTGGCGGAGCAACAAGGTACAAGAGCAGCTGTGCTTGCATAACCTCCCAGATGTTTAGAGTTGCCAATCTTTTCCACTTCTGCTATTCTAATGAATATAAAGTGGTGGTTTTTAACCTACATTTCATCTTTTCATGGACTTACCGTCCATTCATATATGTTCTTTTGCAAAGTGTCTGTTCAAACATTTTGCTCATTTTTTTAAGGCATTAATCTTTTTTATTGTTAATTTGGAGGAATTCCTATGTATTCTAGATATAAATCCTTTATCAAATACAGTCATGTGCCACATAATGACATTTGGGTCAACGATGGCTGTGTATAGGTCCCATTAGATTATAACGGAGCTGAAAATTTTCTATCACCTAGTGACATCGTGGCCATTGTAACATTGTAATGCAACCCACTACTCAAGTAGGAGCCATAGGCTGTCCCATGTAGTTGAGGTATGGAGCAGGCCATGCCACCTAGGTTTGTGTCAGTGCACGCTATGATATTTGCACAACAATGAAATCACCTAATGACACATTTCTGAGAACGTGTCCCCATTGTTAAGCAACGCATGACTGTGTATGTATGGGAATATATTCTCCCAGTCTATGGCGTGCATTTTTATTTTCTTAATGGTCTTTTAAAGACAGGCCTTTAATTTTTATCAAGTTTAATTTATCATTTTTTCTTTTTTTATGGTCAGGGCTTTTAGTTTCCTTTCCAAGAATGTTTGCCTGCACCAAGGTCATGAAAACATCTTTTCTCCTAGAAGCTTTAGAGCATCAGATTTTAAGTTTAGATCTATTCTTTGTCTGAAATTAACTTGTGAGAGTGTTATAAGGTAGGGGTCAGGTCACAGATGTGCACGCACAACACATACATATTTTTTCCAGTTTTTCCAGCATCTTTTTTTGGAAAAGACTATTGTTTCTCCTGGCAATTATCATGTTTTTGACATATGTCAAAGATCAATTGACTTCATAAGTATAATTCTATACTCTATTCTGTCCCATTGATCTACTTCTCTGTCTTTATGCCAATATCACACTGCCTCAATTAATGTAGCTTTATAAGAAGTCTTCTAAGACTTCTCATACTCATCAAGAGTAATTATACTCTTATACTTCTTAAACTCAGAAAGTATAAATCCTCCAACACTGTTCTTTTACTCTAATCACTATGCCTAGAATCAATTTGTAAATTTTAGAATAATCTATGGGATTTTGATTGAGATTGAGTTGAATTTATAGATCAAATTGCAGAGAATGGATATCTTATCGATTATGAGTACTCCAATCCATAAGCATGAAATGTCTCTCCATTTACTTTAAGTAATTAAAGTAATTAAGAAATTACTTTAACTTATTTTAGCAACATTTCTATGTAGAGGTCTTTGTCTTACATGTCTTTTGTTAAATTCATTCTAAAGTATTTTCTGGGTTTTCTTTTTCTTTTCTTTTCTTTTTTTTTTTTTTTTTGGTAGCACTTAATATAGAAATAAAATGGAACCTATATAGGAAATAAAATTGTATAGAGAAATTTTACCCACACATATGTACAATCAACTATGTTACAATAAAAAAAAAAGAAATTTTACAAAAGTTGATTTTTGTATTTAACCATATATGCTGTGATCTTGCTAAATTCATTTTTTAGTTCCAGCAGTTGTTGTGTGGGTTTCATAGTATTTCTCTGTATGCATAGTCACATCATCTGTGATTAAAATCAGCTTTATGCTTCCTTTAAAATCTCAGTCTCTTGTTTCTTTTTCTTGCCTTCTCACACTGGCTAGGACTTACAGCACAGTGACAGCTTGCTCCTGACAACTCGATATTTCACCACAATGTAGCTATAGGATTTTTGTAAGTTTAAGGAAGTTTCCTTCTATTTTTATTCCATTTGCTGAGAATTTTTATCATCGATGGTCTTGAATTTTTGGTAAATGATCATCTGGCTGTCTGCCTCTAGCATGGTAATATGATGTTACATCCAGTGATTTTCTAAAGTTAAACACAGACAGGACAAATCCTACTTCAGCGTGTTAAATTTTCTTTTTATACATTGATGGATATGATTCACTGGTATTTTGCTAATGAGCTTTGCATTTATATTCATAGGGGATATCGGTCTGCAATTTTCTTTCATGTCACCTACATATACGTTCAAATTTTTGTATCAGTGTTTCAGTGGCCCATAAAAAGAGTTAGGAAGTGTTCCCTTCTCTTACATTTTCTGAAACTTTGTGTAAGATTGGCATTATTTTTTCATTAACTGTTTCATAGAATTTACTAGTGAAATTATCTGAGCATGGAGGGATTTTCGTGGGCAAGTTTTTGATTATAAGTTCAAGTTCTTGAATTCTTGAGTTAAAAGTTATAGCACTATTCAGAGTTTTCTATTTTTTCATATGTCAGTGATTTCAAGTTGTGTTTTTCAAGGAATTTGACCATTTTATCCAAGTTATCAAATTGATTGGCATAAAGTTGTTTATAGTATTTCTTTATTATCCTCCAAATGCCTGCAGTACCTGTCATGAGAGCATTCCTGATATGCACAATGTGTGCTTTGTATCATTTCATCGTGATTAGTCTTGCTAGGGGCTGATCAATCTTATTAAACTTTATAAAGAACTAATTTGTGACTGTTTATTTTCAGTATGTTTTCTATTTCACTTACTTCTGCCTTTATCTTTGTTATTTCCTTTCTGCTATTGACTTTGGCTATAAATTGCTCTTCTTTTTATAGCTTCTTAAAGTGGAAGCTTAAGATTGCTGATTTCCGGCTGTTGTTGTGCTAACACAGACGCTGAAACTATACATGTGTTAGCTGCTTCCCCACAATTCGAAATGTCGTGTTTTCGTTATCACTCAGACCAAGGTATTTTCTAATTTCCCTTGTGATTTATTCTGTTGTTGTTGTGCGGTTTGGCGGTACAGGGATCTGAACCCTTGACCTCGGTGTCACAAAACTGCACTCTAACCAACTGCACTAACCAGCCAGCCCTCCCTTATGATTTCTTCTTTGACCCATGAGCTATGTTGAAGTGTGTCATTTGATTTCCAAATATCTGGGGATTTTTCTAGAGATCTCATTTTTGTATTTCTAATTTAATTCTGTGGTGGTTAAAGCAAATAATTTTAATTTTTTGAAATTTTTTTGAACCTTAATTTGTAGCCCAGCGTATGATCTAGCTTCATGGATGTTCTGTGTGCACTTAAAAAGAATGTGTATGTTGCAGTTGTCAGTTTAAGTAAAGTTGTTCGATACTGTTGTTCAAAGCCGCTACGTCCATATTGATTTTTGCTAGTTGTTCTATTAATTTCTGAGAGAAGAATGTTAAAATCTCCAAATAAGTTTGTGCACTTTCTATCTCTCCCTTCAGTTCTATCATATATTTTGACACTATATTGTCAGATGCATACATATCTATAAAACGTACCCCTTAATCTCTGGTAATAATCCTTGTGATGAAGTCTCCATTGTCTACTATTCTTGTAGCCATACAGCCTCCTTACACTTGGCATCTGCATGGCACATCTTCAGTGCTTTTTCTTTCAGCCTATTAGTGTCTTTAGTGCATTTCTAGTATACACCATCTGGTTGTAGCTTGCTTTTTTCTCCAGTATGACAATCTCTGCCTTTTAATTAGAGTGTTTAGTTTAATTACATTAAATGTAATTAGTTCTATGGTAGCACTTAAGTTTACTATTTTACTATTTATTTTCTGTTTGCCCTTCTGTTTCTTCAGTGTTGCCTTCTTTTGGGTTAATTGAATATTTTTCATCCTTGATTTTAATTCCTCCATTGGCTTCTTAATTATATCACTTTCTATTATTTTTTATTAGTTCCTCTACAAAACACAGTGTACATATTTAACTTATCATGTAAATCTAATATTGTATCACTTCTCAGAAAATGTAAGCAATTTTGAACAATATAAAATTAATATTATATATATAATTATTATAAAATTATTGTTGTAAACAATATAATTCCACTTGCCCCCTTCCTTTGTGCTACCATTGTCACTATGTACCCTGCATCCACGTGCAGCAAAAGTCTCACAGTGTCATACTATGACTTTTGTTTTAAACAGTTTTCTTATGAAGAAATTAAGAGGGAAAGAATAGTGTGTGTTTTTTAATTTACTCGCACACTATTTCCAGTGTTCCTCATTCTTTCCTGTCGATGTGACAGCAGTTTCATCGGATGTCATTTACCTTCACCCTGAACAACTTCTTGTGGCACTTCTTGTAGTGCAAGTCTATAAGCAACAAATTCTCTCAGCTTTCATTTATGTGGAAATTTTAAAAATTTTATTCTAACTTATAAAAGATACGCTTCTGGGATATAGAATGCTGTGTTCACAGTTATCTTTTTTTCTTTTGGCTTTTAAAAGATGTTGTTCCGTTGTCTTCGGGCCATTGCTTTTTCTGATGAAAAGTCGTCTGCATGTAACGTATCTTTTTAGCTGGATGCTTCCAAAATTTTCTCTCTATTTTTAGTCTTCAGCAGTCCGACTATGGTATGTTTACATGTGGTTTTTTGGATGTTTTTCTGTTTAGTTTTCAGTGAAATTCTTGGAATTCTAAGTTGATATTTTTCATCAAATCTGAGATCTTTTCAGCCATTATTTCTTCAAGGATTTTTCCTGCCTCATTTTCTTTCTTCTCACCTTTTGGGACTCCAATTATATGCATGTTAGATTGCTGTATATGTCCCATAGGTCACTGAGATTCTGTTTAGTTTTTTCAGTATTTTATCTTTCTGGTGTTTAGACTGCATGCTTTTTATTTATCACCTGCTGCTAAGAGAATCCATTAAATTTTTCATTTTAGAGATTGTACCTTTCAGTTCCAGAATTTCCTTTTGTTCTTTTTTATTTGCATTATTCTGCTGAGGTTTTCTTTATGTTCACTCATGAAGACCATCTCTTCCTTTAAGTTTCTTTAACACCTTTAGACTAACTGCTTCAATGTCCTTGAGTGATAACCTCAGTGTTTGGGTCATCTCAGGCTCACTTTCTATTGACTATTTCTATTCTTGACTGGTTCACATTTTTCTGTTTCTTTGTATGCCTAGTATTTTTTAAACATTTAAACTAAACATTATAAATAATAAACTTAGAGATTCTGCATTCTTTGCTCTTCCTCTGAAGAGTATTGACTTTGTTCTAAGAGGCAATTAAATTACTGGTCAATCACCTTGAATTTGCTGAGTCCGGGTTTTATGCTGTTAGGGCAAGTCTATCATGGCTTTCCACGTAGTACTAGAGTGAATCCTTTAGTCTTGCGGCACAGTACTTACTCCTAAGGCCTGGCCTTTCTGGAGTTTCAATGGAAAGCTCGAGATGTTTACCAAACCTCTCCAACTCATCAGGACTCAAACTCCAAATTCCGTCTCCTCGGAGGAGGGCAGAAGCTAAAATCTCCGGTCTGTTCTTTCAGCCTTCCAGCTGTTGCTTTCTGCTGGGCTCTTTGGAGACTCCCACAGCATGAACAGTTCAGTGATCAACTAAGGATTTGAGGAGATTTTATGTGCAGAATTTAGGGCTGATTTATTTGTGGCTCCTTCCTTTTCAGGTTTCAATTTATTTGTAGCTCCTTCCTTTTCAGGTTTCTTCCTTTTAGGCAGCCCTGAAACATCAAACTAATATGTAGCCAAGACTGCTGCTTCCGGCCACTTGCAGCTCATAGACTGAGAATGCCCTTGGAAAGAATCTTTATAAACATGGATCTTGCCAAGCTTGGCTTGGATCTTTCAAACCTCAAATCCCCTCCTGTTTCTCCTTGTTTTTGGTTTCTCTCTAGTGCCTTCAAATAATTTTTTTCTTTAATATCTTCTTCAGAGCTTATAGTTGTTATCTCCATGAGGGTTAGTCCAGTATGGGCTACTCCACCATTAATTGGATTGCTGAAATTTACAGCATGCCGTCATGCTACTGTACATGGAAGAAATCCTCACAGAACAAAATATTTTGTAAATTACAAAAAAAAAAATCAGTTTGCATACACATTTCAAAAACAGTTATATTCCACCAAATTTAGGTATACATCTTATTATTTGAAAATTAATTTGGGTTTCCTAATAAAATTATCTGAGTATGCAGTCAAAGATCAACAGGTAGCTATAGGTAAAGATACACAAGGATGTTTGTATTAGTTTTCTTTTTTTTTTTTTTCCTTTTTGTCTTTTTTCGTGACCGGCAACGGATCGCGACCCTTGGTGTTGCTCCTGCACCTCGCTCAGCCAGTGAGCGGCCGGTCTGTACGTGGGATCCGAACCCTCGGCAGGAGCGCCGTCGCACTCTCAAGCGGCGCACTGTAGCAGTGCGCCACCGGGCCGGCCCTGTATTAGTTTTCTATTACTGCATGACAAACCACAAATTTAGTGAATTAATACAACACCCATTTATTATTTCACAGTTTCTGAAGGTCAGAAGTCTGAGCATCCTGTAACTGAGTCTCCTGCTCAGCTCACTTCTAAGGTAATCCAGTCATTGGGAGAATTTAGTTTCTCATGGTATAGGACTGATGGCAGCTTTCTTCCTCTTCGAGGCCAGCTGGAGAACGCCTCTCTGATACTTTGTCTTCTTTTTAAGGGCTAGCCTGATTAGGTCAGATTCACCCAGGACAATCTCCCTTTTGACTAAAAGTCAACTGATAAGGGACTTAATCAAAGGTCATGTCCGCACTCAAGGGGAGGGGGCATATACAGTGCATGCACCCAGGGGTGGGAAACTTCAATTTCTGCTCCACCAAAATGTTCCTTGCAGCAGTGATTGTAGTAGCAAAAATTAGAAACAATGGAAACCTCATCCACTGAGAGCTGCTTAAATAAATTATAAATTATAATAATTTCACACTAAACTGAGACAAAAAGGATGTTTAAGATATTTTAAGGAAAAATTTGCTCTCACAGATTCCTATAGTTAGTATAATTCCATTTGTATAAAAATACTTATGCACATGAGAAATGACATACATTTTACACTGTTGTTCCATACATGGAGGCCAGAATGATATCCTTCTTCATTTCTCCATTGCTTAGCCCAGTTTGTCTCACAAACCCTCATGTCTGCTAACAGCAGAAAGCAAAGCTGCCTGTTTCAAATGTGGAAAATCAAGGTTTAAATTCAAGTCACCATTATTTTCTCCCTCCCTGGTCTCTTCCTTTCTTCTCCGCGGGGCAGACTGAGTTCCTGGGGCCCTGTGTGTGGCCAGGCATGAGAAGGGTGCCAGTACTGTGCTCTGCACTGGCTGCCTTTGCTGCTGTAGCTGGTCACTCCTGGACTTGCCATCGCTCTGCCCGGACACCCATGCCCATGGCCCACCCCTCAGCTCTAGCTCTCCATTGCTCCCACTAGAGGAAATGGGCTGCCCTAGGGAAATTTTTCCCAAATGGAACCTTAACAGGTGCCTTCACAGGTGGATATAGAACTCTGCTCTGAAGATTTGTAGCCTCGCAGAATACACCCTGGGGAAACTAGGTAACAGTTCCCCCAGATTTACCTAAAGCTTTCATCACATCCTGCAGAGGTTTTTCCTCAGGACGAGTGTGGTATGGAGACTTTTCTCAGGTGCTTTTCTGCAGTGTCCTACCTAAGCAAGTCGCCCTGATCCTGCCCTTCCTATGGCCCCATAGCAGCTCTTTTTTTTTTCCGGAGAGAAAATGACTATTGCCCCATCCACATTCTTCCCTGTTGCATGGATTTGGTAATAAACGTTGTATTTCAAGCTATGGAAACAAAGGCCACCCAAATAAGAGAAGCAGAGGCTATTTACTCAGAGCTCGCTAGAGCAAGGTGTCAGCCATCATACCTTGTGTTCTGGTGGGTACTCAAAGGCAGGCAGGGGAGTGGGAGGGCTTCACAGTGGGAAACAGGGAAGATGCCAGGCGTGCCCTCACTGGAGCCTGACGGCATGGGCAGTGGGGCACCTACATGATTGGTAAGGCGTGCATATTTCCAGTTGGTCCTAAGTTGGAAGTGGAGGGAAAACAAGGGATATGACCAGAAGGACATGCATATTGTGCCAAAAGTGTCTTCCTATGGACAGTGGAGATGAAACAACAGGGAAATAACCTAGTCAATATCATCCTACCACTTAGCAATGGGCACAGTAGTGCATTCAAGGCTCCCTGTGACTGGTGCTGGTGGCCTGAGCACAGGCTGCAATGGAAGGTGTGGAGCAGGAAGCTCTGTGAGGTCTGGAGCCTGCAGCCTGTGCACACCAGCAGGAACAGGGGAATGAGGAAGTCCACTTTGGGTAGATATCCTGCACAACATGCACACAGGTACTCTGGGGAAGAACATTCCAGAACATCCACAGGAGCTATACATCTGCTGCTGGTCAGGTGAAGCACTAGATGTTCGGAGGTCTTGTTTACTAAAAAAGGTATTCTGTTTGAAAGGAAATGTTATGGGGAATATAATTTTTCTTCTTTCGGTTTTCCTCATTTGCTAACTTTTCCCATTCCTACCCCTTCTCTTCTGTCCCTCAGAGCTCCCCGAGATACTCTCTTATTTTATGTCCCTGAATGAACTCAAAGTCCGTGAAGTACACACCTGAGGAAGTGCTTCTCCCACCTGAACGTGAATGAGGGTCCTGAAGGGCTTGCTTGTAATGTGCACTCCTGGGCCTTATGCAGGAGGGGTGAGTGGGGCCCAGAAACCTGCACTTCACATGCCCTAAGTAATTATAAGGCAAATGCCCAGGGACCACAGTCTGAGAAAACTGCTTCAGAGAGAGAGGGAAATCTAATTCAGGCATCTCTGCCCTCTTTGACTCATGTCCAATGTGATCTTAATGGATCTCAGCTGTCTGGCACTATTTTTATGGGCCACTTTTTAGTTTAAACATAGAGCATATTTAAAATATTTTAGCCCTAAAACCCATGACTTGTTTAATACATTTGAGCTTACTGAAGAATTGTCACAACCACCTGTCCCGGGCTGGGCTGCACCAGCACCATGAGTCAGGGGCAGCAGTCCTAGCAACAGTCGCTGTGACAGGATGTGGCATGCAGGAAGCCTTCCAAAGAGGTCCTCCTAAAAACAGGATCCCCTGTCACCTACCTTGCACACGTTGCCTTCCCTCTTGCTGACATTCATAGGATTTTGTCTCTTAAATTACAGCTTTTTATTCTACAGGTGATCTCCTGCTTTCATCCCATACTGAAGTGCTCTCCCTGGAGTTGCAGGACCGAGTTACTGCTGCCTTCATCCCCACTGTCCACGGTGGCGGATGCACCGCACTGTAATTTACCTTGAAGGCTATGTGGAAATACAGTGACTCCGTCCCCGTGGACATGTGGAGCACTGTGGTTGTGCATGATTTGAGTGCCTGCGGCATGCTCACCAGGAAGGACACCTAGAGAAGCCAAGTTTGCTCTCGAGGAAGGTTCCAATCAGAGTGACACTGGTGAAACGAAGCAAGGATTTGGGGAAAGAGAACATGTGTTGCTTTAGACTAATACTGTCTGGCTTTGATTTCAAGTTTGATAATTTTGCTGGGCAATTGCTAGTGAGAGCCCCACACCAAGACTCTCACGGTAAGTTGTTCATTGAAAAGGCACTGCACTGACTTACACATGAATCAAAACACTAAACTGTACCCCATACACATGCACAATTACAATGTGTCAATTAAAATAAATAAATAAAAGTTTTCTTAAGGACGGTGCAGAATCAGCCAGGGAATATTACAAATTACGTGCCTAGCTCAGTGTGAAATCTTCCCTTGAGGGACACAGGAGTTTCGGACAGTCTTTGTCTTACCAGTATAGAATCAGTCTCTCTCTCTCTCTCTCTCTCTCTCAACCAAGCTGTCCGTATGTGAAAATAACATGAGGGATCTGATAATGAAGTGTGGACAGTATGGTCTGAAGCCACAGGAATTCAGAGTAGAAAAGGGCATGTGGGTAGAGAGGGGAGGCTGTGTGGACATGGAAGGAATCCAAGAATGAAAGGGAGCACGTGGAGCCAGGGGTGACAGTGGTCTATGCACATGTCGCCCACAGACCAACACAGGGAAGATGCACATGAGAGGGCTTTGTTGATAAGATGGTGAAATTGCCTTGAGTCACAGTGAGTCCAAGACGCCTGCTGGCAAATGTCCCCTGAGGGGCAAAATTGCTCTCCCCCATAAAGGACCACTGAGTTACACATAAAAGCAACCTGCAAGTGGCAGCTTAAGCAAGGAGGGGTTTCTTTTTCCACAGAACAAAGAGTCCAGATTGCAGAAGTCCAGGCTGCTGTTAAGACTGTTTCCTTTCTGGCCCACCGACCTGTTCTCATTGTCACAGGCTGGCCGCTCGGCCTCCGGCATCACAGCCACAGAGCAGGCAGGAGGAGGAGGGTGCAGACAGAAGGCACCGGTCTACCCACTCTTAGTGGGACATGCACAGCTCTCCCTGAAGCCCCACCCGGTGGTCCCCTGTGTCCTCAGTACTGTGTCCCTGCCACTCCAGGTATAGCAAAACCAGGGAAGGCAGTGTTGTCACTGGGCGAGCTCTTAGCACAGGAGGGGCCATCGATGTTGTGTGGCAGAGTCGGCACAGCAGCCACCTGCTTTCTACTGCACCTTCACCAAATGACACTCTGACTCTGGCGCTGGGCTAGCAGCTGAGGTTGGACAGATAAGAATAACAGCTGCGAACTATAGAGCTGAGCTCTGCTCTCCAAACTTTGCTCCCCTCCAAGCATGCGTTAGCTACCTTCACTGGCCTCAGAATGTTTTATCCTCATCGTGAAAAAACATGACAGCCTGGGTCAATCTGTCTCCCAGACTGTATTCTCAGTATAAAACACTGTCTCCAAGACAAAATTCTTTATCTTCAAGATGTAGACTGTGGGGAGAGATGGAAACACAGTTGCCATAATTTGTGCTGAACGCTATCCTATGTTTAAGAAGTAGCTGGAGACAGAGAGGACCAGCACCTCTTTTGCCCGGGACACTGTAGAAAGACTCCTGGAGGACTATTAGTCCTAAAGGATGAGCAAAGGGGCCAGCAGGGCCAGGTGAGGAAGACGTCCTACTTGGGTACAGGTGGGACAGGGGCACACAGGTGCTAAGGCACAGGAAATGTTTTTGATCCCGAGTTGCTAGTAGTTCATTATAACCAGGGTGAAAAATGGATGTGGGGACGTAGCAGGAAATAATTCCAGAAGGCCAGGTGACTACCCAGATGGCTCTTTCCATGAAGGAGTAATAAACCCCTGAGCCACCACCGTGGAAGTGAGGATGAGGGGAGGAGAAGGGCCCGGCGACAGCGGCCAGCCTGTGCCTGTGGTGTGCGTGCTCGGGGGACTCAGGAGCAGAAGAGCAGTGTCTGTGCAGGCGACTGGAAGAATAATAACATCTCTAAGTAACTGCAGGGCAAGTGCATTTCGTTTTGGAAAGAAAATAATGAAATCCATTTTTATCACCGAGTTTGGATGACCTGAGCAATCAGTGTTGCCCTAGGGTGTGGAGGACCTGAGGGTGTGGAGATTTTGCACGTGTGTGTGGAGTCCACCGCGTCACATGGTTTGCTGTCAAATGTGCCACTCCTGCCCCACCTTCCTGCCCCTGCGGCTGCCCCCGCCTTTACTGAGTGCGGCTCCACAGTGACCTGGGAAGAACACTGTCCACGGGCTCTCCTCTTGTGACTGAGCTTCGTTGACGGTGGCCACCAGTAGTAGTGTCACTGGGCCTTGCAGGAATGCATGAGTGACCACTCGTCCTCTGGCCATGTCAAACGTGCCGCCTGGTCTCTCACAGTGTAGATGTGGAGCAGCAGAGCTCCCAATCGCAACCTCTCCTGAACCCTCAGGCTGTCATCACTGTGCCCCTACAACAGGATGTCCTTTGGCTTTGACCGCACCCCACCTTCCACATGAGCCTCCAAGTAGGAGGGTAGGACGCTCTCAGGTCACCCAGGCACTGCTTAACCACAGAAGCATTGAGAGCCAAACGATTCTCACTCCTGCCATGTGAGGAGAGATGTTCAAAATCATTTATTCTAGTATAGGAATAAATGCTAATAGTCTGTTTAAGTTCTAGGATATTTTCCTTGCTCCTCTGAGACTTTTTAAAAATAGGTTTCCATTTAACACTAGCTTATGCTTGAATGTCAACCAGTCATTTTCTAAGTGTCAAGGAGAAGGCTGTAAATAAGTCATACTCCTTATCACCGACAGCAGTGCATTTAGAACCCCATCAACTGTTTATGCTCTGGCCACGTCTTCCTTTCAGAGGCTGTTAGAAAACAGAACCAAGTCCGAGTGCCGCCGCAGATGGCTCCCAGAAAGCGCTCAGGATGTTGTGAGCCTCTCACTGCCTGCCCCCCACGCTTGCACTCCCAGCCGCGCCCTGACACCCAGCACAGGCCCTGCCACCCGCAGCCAAACCTGCACCCTGGCCAGCTGCCGACTTGCAGCCCCACCGGAGTGCACAAATGCTGTGTCTGTGCGCACAGAGGCCTACTTCTTGATTTTCTTTTCTTTCTTTCTTTTTTTTTTTTTTTTTTGAGAACTCTGGTTTTTAGGGATTGTACTTAAAAGCTCTCTTCGGGATTGTTTGCCAGCATAGCTCTAATAATTGAAGAGTAAATATGCACCGATGTTTTGGTACAGTTGGTGCCTTTGTTTCCTGTAAACCAAATACAGCACAGCCCATCTCCCCGCCAATGGGAAAGCACCTGTGTCTTGATGGAGATAGTCTCTGGTTTCACACAAATGCACCAGAGCGAGGGCAAGGTTCTGCAGGGAACGTATTCAGTAGTGATGCTTCCAGTGTGGCGGTCACTCTGAGCAGGGCAAGTCCTGGAAGCTGTGAGCATAGAATCCTGTAGTCTCTTGCTTCAAAAATGGGGAAACCAGGCTTGGGCTGCTCAATCCTAAGACCAGAAGCATCTCCCGAGCTGGAGTGTGACTCCCACGCTGTTAGCCGGGACGCACGGCTGCGTGGACGGAGGAACCCACGGCACTGCCAGGCCAGCCGGCTCTGCCGCCTCCAGCTCTGCAGCCCCCACCCCGCACTACTGTGCTCACCTTTGCCGGGAGCAGATCATTCTAGCCCCTCAAAGAGGTTCTCTGCTAACTGTCCTGCCTCATTCATGTTTACAAAATCTTGCTTCATCACTATTGAAAAGCACTGAACTAAAACAAGACCTTTTACGTTGAACATTTTCTAGCATCCTTAACCTCAGTGAAGGGAAACCTGAAGTTATCCCTCTTACCCTGTGTTTTGGGGTTTCCCTAAAGCAGAGCCTCAGACTGGGAGTCTAGGGCAAGTAGTTTATTTGTAACGAGAGGAAAGGAGTCCCAGGAGAGGAATAGGAAGTGGGACAGGGAAGAGGAGCCAACAAAGGGTACATACCATGGACTGAATGTGTGGGTCCCCCAAATCCATACGCTGAAGCCCTAATCCCCAACGTGGTAGTATGAGGAGGGACCTTTGGGAGGCGATTGGATCATGAGATTGGAGACCTCACGATGGGATTAGTCCCCTTATAAAAGTGACATGACACAAGAGAGCTTGCTTCTCTCTCCCCTACGTGAGGGCACAGCAGGGAGGTGCCATCTGTGAACCAGAAAGCAGGCTCTCACCAGGAGCTGCCTGGCACCTTGATCCTGCAGTTTCCAGAGCCCACAACTGGGAGAAATAAGTTTCACCCAGTCTACGGCACTTCATCACAGCGCCGGAATTGGCTGGTACAGAATGCTATTAAGCAGTTTACCATGGAGGGCAGCTGGTGCTCAGTCCACCTGAGGAGCTTGGAGAGACATCCCGGAGCAGGCACCTCTCATGAGGTAGAGGAGGGAGCTGGGTATTTATGCACAAACTCAGGTCAGTGGTTGAAGGTTGCTGGGCCTGGGGGGAGCATTGATTCACTGGCCCGTTGGCTGGCTGGGGCTGTGGGGTTCAGAGAAGGACCTCAGACCAAGGGAGGCAGACGCTGACCCTGGCTGCCAGAGGGTGAGGCCTGGGGACGGGGCGGGCTAGCTGTATGTCTGCTGCCCTTGCCCCTAGTCAACTCGTCGTGACGCCCACTAGATCTTCCTTCCTAAATATTTGCAAAACATGTGCAAGCATGTGCAAGGAACCCTTTCTGAATTCCCCACTCTCGTTCTGCCACATCCTCTCCTAACCGAGACTGGCTGGTGTGTGTCTCTATACGTGTACAATATGCGTCTGTTTTCTTTATCACACGAGCAGCAAGTGTGATAGAGTCGGACCCACATTGTCACAGGGCGTGGCTGGAACGCTCCTCTCCCCGAGGCTCTTCCCTCCCCTCCTGCCCAGGTGCCTCCTGCTCTCGCTCCCTCGGGCAGTCTCGATGACTTCCCTGGCTGGGCTCATTCTTGCTTGGATTACACCATAGATCTCTCTGCAGTACTTACTGGACCTCTAATTCTTATTTTTATGTTCCTTGGATGGTTTGTGGTAACCTCTTATTGCATCACAGTTAAGCCTTAATATCTGGAGATGTGCAGGCTGCTTTTACTTTCCTTTGCCAGATTTTTAATGGAAGAGGCAGAAAGTGGATATATCTGTCTACATGTGTGTACGACACATCTGCTGCTTTGTCACACAGGCAGTGTGCAGGTCAGTTCTCGGATAAGTGTCATAGGATGGCTGTGTGAATGTCATGGGGTGGAGCATTCTGTGATGACATGTACTTATTTGTCATGGATTTAAT